TCCTTTCCAGATGTTCTTTCCGTTTTTGTATGTAATTCTTGATTTCTTTAATTACATTCATAGTAATCTCATCTGTGCAGCTTGTTCTTCTTTCATCCACTTTACCTAGCACCCAACATTCACTTCCATACAGTAGAGCAGGTTTACCAACTATATTGTGGAATCTCCATAAGATATCTTTCCTTGTTTGTCTTCTGAAATTTCTCTTTATTATTCCATTTATTCTGTTATAATTTGTCAATGGGGTCTCCAGTTTGTTTTGTCTTCCAAGCACATGTCATAAGTGCATTTTTCCAGTGTTAGTTTGGGTTGTTTATAATTAAAGAAAACTAGGCTAAATTAAACAAAACCACACCTTACATAACTTCTTTACCAAACAAGGTTGAAAAGGTGTAGTTCGTACCAAATACACACTTGCATTCTTTACATATCCTGGATTAATAAAAGATTGCCAGTTATCTTAGTTAGTGAGCTGGGGTAGCTCAGTCAGTGTAGTGACTAGCTACGGACTGGATGACTGGGGTTTGATCCCCGACGGGAAGAGGATATTTGTTGTCGCCTCTGTGTCCAGACTGGTTCTGGGGCCCACCCAGCCTCCTGTCCAGTGGGTACCGATGTCCTTAAGTGGGACAGCTTTACTTTACTTTTACCAAATTTCATCCAGTTCTCAAGTTGAATTATGCAGACAAACCGACATGAACAGCCCTATATGGTTTCATTTCATTCACATCGTACAAAGAACATGCAAAATGTGGAAATGGACTCTGAATGTAGAATTTTTTAAGTTTCTATGAATGGGAAAACTTTTGTGTTTAATTTGTAGTGAAGGTCATGCCAGTTTGAAAGAATATAATATTGTTATACATTGAAATTTGAAGCAGAAGGAAAAGTACGAAAATCGTGTTGGTGCTGGCAGAAGAAAAATGTATCAGCTTTAAAATGTGGGCTTGAGTCACAACAGAATGTTTTCAAAAAACAACTGAATGACAATTCCTGTGCATTGTGGGGAAGTTATTGTGTTGCTCACTAAAGAAAGCAAACCTTTATCTGATGGGGGACATGTAACAAAACATTTACAACACACAGTGCAAGAAATCAGACCAAAAGCTTCAAGCCTCAGTTGATCTGCCCCATATTTATCAAAAGAATTTATTAGTACCATCTATGATATGTTTACATCTTAAAGATGCTAGGGCTACCACTTGACAACATGACACTACTTACAAGTTGGTACAGCTTGACAACAAAACTACAGCCCACAGACCAGGAGAAAAGCCCTGCTAGGAATTCGTTATACGCGCATGCGTAAGATTTTGCAGTGAGTGACGAATGTTCCACAACCACTGAACGAACAACAGACAACAGGCTTTCACGTGTTATAATGGGTATAGCTTTAAGATTGCCTCACAGTGGCACAGTCATTTAATCTAGAATATTATCACAACACCCACAGAACACATTAGATGTGCACCCACTACACGCTACTCTTAACTGCTTGATATTTTCAGTCTGTGTGTAGTAGTGTAAAACTCTGATGTATCACACTTCCCACCAATAGCAGCCTTCTAGTCCACTAGAAAGTAAACATTCCCCTTGCACCGCCCCAGAAATGACTTCCCCCGGCAGGGCTTTTTTCCTGGTCTGTTGACAGTATATACTATGGCATGTTACAGGAAAAATATTAATATAACAAAAGCTTTACATACTGTCAATAGATGTCCTACCCTTCCAGGAATAACTGCTACATAAATGTGAGCTGCACATAGCTGGAAAGTTTGAACTCGAAATAATGCACATTCTGCAGAAAGTGGCTGCCAGCATGACTTGTATTATTGACAGCTCCACAGTAAAAGGTTATTTTGTTTGGTGAACAAATTAACAAGACATTAAAGAGCACAGTGTCATATTTTTAATGTGGAATTTTTACTTTGATGTATCTTAAAATACACACATGTACTGATTACACTTTATACCTTATAATACATAACTGCTGACAGAAGACAGTATAGATGCAAGTAATAAATTAGTTGTAGCTAAGGAGGAATGGAACATATTTATCTCCAACTTACCCTGAATGATAAATTTATTCAAGCAGACAAACTGTAATATCCCTTCTTAAAAATATACAGTACACAGACATGACAAATATAATTTCTGAATAGTACCCATTACAGCTTACTGTAAATAAATTGTGTTAAGCATTTTAGACAACACTAACAAATGTGTGACAGAGGCATTTATTCTGAAACAATTTGACTGTCATTTAACTCATACCGGGTTACAGAACTCCAATTTTCTATTCTAAACAATAACAAGTCTACCTCTTCAATGGGAAAAATGTTATTTCAAAATGTTAATATGTAAAGCTCATTCATAAAATTGATTTTTTTATTCTACTGCACATCAATACATAACTTTTGTTTTGCCTGTGGAACTCGGGGTCCAAAACTGTGTTCATTGCAAGGTCTAAGAAACATGCCCCTTGAAAGCAAAAATTATACTATATTGTAATAAAAATCATATGGATGTTAACATTCAAATTTAACATGCAGCTATATGTAGAGTATCACTCTTTTATTACAAACTTTAATTACCTGTGCATTTAATTAATTATATATTGCTACTGTTTTACAAATTAAGTTTCATACAGTAGCAGGTCACAGTGTGGACACTGGGACCATGGGTTCAAATCCCACTCAAGGCATAGATGTTTGTCCACATCTTTGTGTTATACTGTCCCTTATAGGCAAAGGCCTTATGACAGGCTTATCACTCATTAAGAGTCATATTAAATGTCTAAATAGATTAAGAAACCACACATGTGTGAGTAGGCCATGGTCCTTCAAGGATGGCAGAAGCATGAAAAGAAGTAGTTTCACACAATAACTCTAAAACGGATGCCTTTAAAAGTAAAATCTAAGAAGATTATTTGTTATATTCCAAGATATCGTTCCAAAGACAAAAGGCTTAACTGATGTACAATGTATTATTTACTTACAAAAGTGCCACTGTCAGCCATGAGTAAACAAAAAAACCCAACAGTGAAAACAATGGAACAAATGCAGTAATTGATCAGAACTGACTGTGACTCAGAAGATGTGACATTAACTACAACATTTTGAATAAGTGCAGGAGTTCACAATCTTCAGACTGCAGGCTGCATGTAGCCTGTAAAGATGTTTTTTGTGGTCTGCATACAGTTTTTATAACACTATCAACTTATATGATGAAAGCTAGTTGCCTGATATCACAGAACACCTTTGTTAATGTATTCAGTATTTAACAATGCATATTGCTGTGAGCAAGTTTCAGCTTAGGCTTTAATTAAGAACATCAAATCAAGAACTATGATGCATCATACTGATGAACACTTGGAGGGATGCATGCGGATCAAAGTAAGATGAAATGACAATGACATCTGCCAAGACTGTTAGTTACATTTCACAATGTTCGACATGACTCTCTCATCTTTCATCCAGATTCTGTATATATTGAAATTCACTAGTAAGATTAATTAAACCTGATATTTAATGTAAGACTTGAGGTTCTCACAGCGGTGAGTATGAAGATTTCTGTCTTCTGGGTTGTTGCGCTGTGTAGTCTGGTCGATGTTAACCAACGTTTCAGAGGTCATACTGCCTCCGTCATCAGGGCGATGAGTATGAAGATTTCTGTCTTCTGGGTTGT